GGAATATACCCAACTATTATGCTTGGTTAGATGAGATCGAAAATTGAGGTTTTTCTTCTTCCAAGTTGGTTTTTTTTTTTATAATAAAGTGTGATGTGGGATCTACTGTATAGTGTAATGATTAATACTTTCATGTTCATGTAATGTTTTACTTGATTAAACAAACAAGAAAGTCTTACGGAAAATTTCACGATGCATGCAATGATCAAACGCAACGTGCATCGACGAGCGACCCACGACGTATATATCAAATTCCAATGATTTTAATGTTTAATTAGATTTTTTTTTTTTAAATCAATTATAATCGTTGTTAATATTTTAAGAGTTATTCGATAATTTTTGGTATATATTATACCAACTTTGGCTAAATCTGTAAAAGGAATGTCAAAATTAAAATAATTAAAGATAGTTTCCCACATGCGAATGTTCCTTCGTTCCATAGTAAAGTAGACTCTAGTTTAAAATTAATTAAACTTTTAATATAAAGAAGCCTATTTACATCCTAATTACCACCTTTACTGATGTTACACTCCGGTCAAAAAGTATTAATTATTGTTCGGTTTAATAGTATCAATCCATCTTTTAATTCGGAGAGACGACTTTTGTTTTTGATTTGTTATAAAAGCATACACGACACTTGATACATTTATGTTAATGTAACTAAATCAAGTAAGGAACCGAAATTGATTAAACTGTTAGCTACACTATCTCCTTCATAACGTTAGCGGACCTAACATTTTCAACCTTTTCAATCACTCTCGAGTTTGAATCGGTTACAAAAACATTAATATGAAAAGATTAACCTAAACCAAAAACAAAATAGTATTTTAGCATCGCAGTTACCCGAATAACAATGAATAATTTTATATGTAACGAATCTTTTGTAATTTGTTTTTATCAAGAGAGTTAATGTATATCAGAATTAAATTTTATAAATGATATTATTTTCAATATTTGTGATTTTTAGTCAAAATAAAAACCATAGTTTCTAAATTTTTTGTATTGGTGAACAGTAGATATCTTGACTCAAAAGCTCAAATTTATCACCATAACAAGGGTTATAATATTTTCCAAAAAGTATGGATATTCTTCAGAAATACCTACCAAAAAAATTCACATTTAAATATTTGGAGATAAATATCTAAATATATATCCTCTAGACGAGATGATAAGCTTAAAAACTTTGTAATTTTCTGCAATTCAATTATTAAAAATAAAATAATTTCCAAAACCAATAAGACAATTTTAATTACAAGTCCATAATATACGGACATCAAAGAGACAAAATAGAAAAGTCTTCACTTTCTCACCATAACAAGGGTTAGGATTTCTTTTGACCTGTTGAACGAGTCTACAACGTCCACGTGTCTATCCTCACACACTTTTACACAATTACCCCCACACGTGCCAAATCCATTATAAAAATAAACCTACGGGGTCTTAAGCCTTTCTCAGTTTCAAAAGCTGGATCTCAAATCTCTCTTCTTCTTCTCCAAATCCCTCTCTGTGTTCAAAATCCAATCATGGTCGATCCGGCGAATACTGTTGGAATTCCGGTGAATCCAACTCCATTGTTGACGGATGTGCTCGATATCGTGATCCCAACGATCCGTAACCTCGATTTCCTCGAGATGTGGAGGCCTTTTCTTCAGCCTTACCATCTGATTATCGTCCAAGATGGAGATCCATCGAAGACGATTGCTGTACCTGAAGGGTTCGATTACGAGCTCTACAACAGGAACGACATCAATCGGATTCTGGGTCCGAAAGCTTCCTGCATTTCCTTCAAGGACTCGGCTTGTCGCTGCTTCGGTTACATGGTGTCTAAGAAGAAGTACATCTTCACAATTGACGACGATTGCTTCGTAAGTTTCCCAGAATTCTCTAATCGATTGAAATCTGTGTCACTTGTGGTTTATAGATCTGTTTTGTGGCTTTGTGAGATCTGGTGGTAGTGTCGGTAGATTTGATAGATCTCGATGTTTTGAAATTGGAATCGAATTCTGATTGTTTAGGTCAACTAGAGATTAAGACACTGTTGTTTTGACCTAGATCTATACATTCATGTGCTTGATGGTTCTCGATCTGTCCTTTTTCTTCAGAATTGCAATTGTGTAACTGATCATAATCTCTTATGTTGTTGGACCAATCTGTCAATGTCATTACAAGTTAACTTCACAGATTTTTGTATGTCGTTGTCCTGCATACATTTATTTTGTTATCACAACCACAAAGGCAAAGAATAGTCCAAGCTTTTTTAGTTTCCCTCTTTAGGGATTTGTGGGGCTTGTCCAAGAATTTTTCAGTTAGGCCATGATTGTAGCATCGATGTTGTTTTCATATTGTGTTGGTTTAATCACGTGTAACGTGTTGTTTCTCATGTTTTTTCTTTCTCTGGCTTTAGCTGCATTTGAATAATAATTTATATATATTACTTTGTTGTTGTCATGTGTTTTAGGTTGCCAAGGATCCATCTGGGAAAGCTGTGAACGCTCTTGAGCAACACATCAAGAACCTTCTATGCCCATCGACTCCGTTGTTCTTCAACACCTTGTACGATCCATACCGTGAAGGTGCTGATTTCGTCCGTGGATATCCTTTCAGTATGCGTGAGGGTGTTTCCACCGCTGTTTCTCACGGTCTCTGGCTCAACATCCCTGATTACGATGCCCCGACCCAACTCGTGAAGCCTAAGGAAAGGAACACAAGGTAGTAGTTTTAACATTTTATCTTCCTACATTGTTTTTACTCGGTGTCTTTCGTTAGCTAACAATGCTTAAATGGCGTCACTGTTAGGTATGTGGATGCTGTCATGACCATTCCAAAGGGAACACTTTTCCCAATGTGTGGCATGAACTTGGCTTTTGACCGTGAGCTCATTGGCCCGGCTATGTACTTTGGTCTCATGGGTGATGGTCAGCCTATTGGTCGTTACGACGATATGTGGGCTGGATGGTGTATCAAGGTACTTAACTTTCACATTCCCCTTTTTTAGTTTTAACGTATTTGGACTCTGTTTGTATACTCACCTGTATTCGTATGAAACCGTTGTTTAGGTGATCTGTGATCATTTGGGATTGGGAGTGAAGACGGGTCTTCCCTACATTTACCACAGCAAAGCTAGCAACCCATTTGTGAACCTGAAGAAGGAATACAAGGGAATTTTCTGGCAGGAAGACATCATTCCGTTCTTCCAGAACGTGAAGCTCTCGAAAGAAGCTGTGACGGTTCAACAATGCTACATTGAGCTGTCGAAGATGGTGAAGGAGAAGCTAAGCTCCATTGATCCTTACTTTGACAAGCTTGCAGATGCTATGGTCACTTGGATTGAAGCTTGGGATGAGCTTAACCCGGCCACTAAAGCTTGAGCAGCTTAAAAAACAACCACCACCGCAGTTTTGGTTATTAGCTCAACCTATCA